GTCCTCAGTATGTTTGGACATGTCATTTATTTTCATCGTCTATTCACGTCCCGTGATACGAAATTTTGTTATGGGGAGCTAGCCAAATGGTCGCAAGCGTGCTATGAGTGTAGCATGTAGTGATTGATGTTTTACATGGCATGAATATTATGAATATCTTGTTTGGACATGTCATTTTACCTTCGTCGTCCATTCATCTCACATAATTACCAAATTTGTTATATGTGAAGCTAGCGAAACGACCACGATTGCATCATGAGCGTGGTATGATGTCCTGTGTATCATAATTGCATCAGTCATTACCTTCATTATCTCGTTTTCATTATCTCTTGGTGTCTCGTAACACCAAATTTGGTGTATATACTGTGTATCATAATTGCACCAGTCATTACCTTCATTATCTCATTTTCATTATCTCTTGGTGTCTCGTAACACCAAATTTGGTGTATATGAAGCTAGCAAAACGACCAAAGAGCACTATGAATGTAGCATGTAGTCGTGTTTTACATGACATGCATGTCATGATTTCCTTGTTAGGGTCTGTTACTTATGTTCGCTATGGAGTCATGCCATACCATACCAGTTTTGCAGCATGCTATGTGAACGAAACCACCGCAAGAGCAGCAAGATCATGAAATGTAAATCATGACATTCATGATATACATGTAATGATTTTTATGTTATGACTAGTCACTTATGCTCGTCATACAGTTATGTTACGCGATACCATTATCGAAACGGCTAGGAGAGCTACGAGTCGTAGGCGGCCAGATAGATAGATACGATCAAAGTCGCATAAGCTTGCTAAGAAATGCTTTGTACTTAATAAACTAAAAAGTGAAGCGGCAAAGCAATATGATGATGAGTGGAGCACAATTTATGATCTTGCTCCTAGTTTTTCAAGCTGTAAAGGAAGGGCAAGATTGGAAACAGCTATACATGATTGTGGTTCACCAAGCCCAATGCTATTCAGGTGCACTTGGAACTGTTCAAGGAGAGGACAGCGATAAATCTATTTGAGAAAAGATGCATCAACCTTTCAGTGAATGACAATGCACCTTTTGCTGCTATCTGCAGGTATGTAAAGCACAATGAAATTAAAGCACATCCTTCACTTGTAGGTCAATGCATGTGACAATGTAGCTTTCGGAAGTGAACCGTTATTAGACATTAATTTTATATATTAAGTATTCTCAGGAAACACATAGTGAAAAGTAGAAATGAACAGAGCATGCAGCACTAATACTTGGTGGGCATTCTTCTGTAGTATGCTAACAGCCACATTAAGTTATAGAACTGAAAACACTGGAGTGCCTGTGGTGGGCATTCCTCTGTAGTATGCTGGCAGCCACATTAAGTTATAGAACTGAAAACACTGGAGTGCCTGTCTTGTTCCTTAGCGCTGTTGTTGTAGCAAGCTGCTGCTGAAAAAAGTCATTTGCCAGTTGTATGCCTGGTATCTAAAAGTGTAGGTGAGGAGGTGGGGAGATGGGATTGGGAGCAAGAGCGGATGCAGACAAGTGAACTATTTTCACAAGCTGCTTTAGTTGTTCTAAGATAGGAGTCTGCGCATACAACACATACGATTTGGCTTGCTCATACAACGCTGAAAAAAATAACTTCATTAAGGAAAATGAGACATCGAGTGTTTAGTTACATCATGCTCATAAGAAAAATTTTCCACCATGCAGCGTTCAGTTGACTAAAGAGGATAAATTGACTTCAATGGTCTATCTGTCTTTTTAGCGCCTGCGTCTGGTCGCTTTCAAGATCACTCCCTTAGGTTTGGGTAAACCAAATTAGTATGGGAGGTTAAGATGGTTTGATGAATATGATTTCCCGTCAGGTCATGAATAATGCCGCTATCCTGTTGCATATGTCGTCATACCCTTTCTTCCAGATGTGTGGCACACATCTGGCAGGTATGCGGTTATGTGCCCCTGGTGATTTACAGTTCGTCTACACAAGAATGGAAAGAAATAAAATTGGTAATTTTAACACAACATCCAGGAAAAAGTCAGTGTTGACTCTATAAATGCAGTGAATAAATATCAGGGCCCCAGCAGGAATTAAAACTAAACATTGTGGGCGGCGATCAAGTACTCTACCACAAAGCCACACCAGGTCTCGACACTGTTGTGGAAATAGACACCACTCAGGCACAATGTCAATTGCAGTTGCAATGCTAACTATAGAATTTTATGAAAATTACAGATGCACTCCTATGATGCCCCGCCGCGGTGGTCTAGTGGCTAAGGTACTCGGCTGCTGACCCGCAGGGCGCGGGTTCGAATCCCGGCTGCGGCGGCTGCATTTCCGATGGAGGCGGAAATGTTGTAGGCCCGTGTGCTCAGATTTGGGTGCACGTTAAAGAACCCCAGCTGGTCTAAATTTCCAGAGCCCTCCACCACGGCGTCTCTCATAATCATATAGTGGTTTTGGGACGTTAAACCCCACATATCAATGCACTCCTATGATGCAGCCGTCACGACTAGTTCACGTAAATTGTAGGTAAGCACCATACACTTTGGTAGATGAGAGATGATTTAGACTCCAACCAAAAGTTTTGAAAAAAACCTGACTTTTCGGAACCGACTTGGTTTCTTCCTCAGGGGTGACTGCGGAGGCTACGTAGCAGCGTCAGGGGGACACTGCTATGTAGCCTCCGCAGTCACTCCTGATGAAGGAACCAAGTCGGTTCCAAAACGTTTGGTTTCTTCAAAACTTTTGGTTAGAGTCTAAATCATCTCCCACTTTCATACTCAACCAGGCAGACTTCTGCTGTCGAATGTTTACTTTAGCAGATTTATGTAGCAGTGTTTGGGGCTATCATCCTTGAAAGCACAAGCGCTACATATCAGCTTAGCATATCTGATGTTGCTAACACTCATGGTGCTGTTGGCATCATTATGCAAATGTAAACAACTGGTTATATAAAACATGTGTGACTGCTGAACTTACATCTGTGCGTACAACATTTGTCCCTTTTGCTAAATACACCACAGTCACATTCCTTTAATGATATACATGTCTCAAATGGTAAATTATGTCATTGTACAACATTTTTATACATTAAAAGAAGTCACCATTCTTTCAGTGCTTTTTTTTTTGCTGTTCTCCTACATGGATGAAGTAGTTTTTTTTTCCCTAGAAGTTCACTTACTTTCCAATTACAGAAAAAACAAAACAGATGCTTATCTGTTACTTTAATCTTCAAAAGGGATTGATACTAGTTTGTTAATTGCTTACAGGGGTGCCATTTCACGCTGGAAAATGAGACACCTGTGGGCAGAAAAACCTGTGGGGTGCAAACCGCACGCACTACATACCCAGGCGTCGAACTCTTGTTTATGTACAACTATCGATCGTGCAGCTGTATTAGGCTTGAGTAGTGCCATACAGTCTCTTTCAATTTGATTCGTGTTTCTCAACCTAGAACGACTCGCTTCTGCATTTATGCACGATCGTGTAAATTACATAGTGTAAGACCTGCATGGCTTAACTGACAGAGAAAATCGGCCTCGTTGACCGATAAAACGGCAGTAATGCCACTCATTGATACATTTGATGAGCAAGTGGCAAAACAGTCAAAAGCAAGTTGCCGAAGCATATGATCAAGGACAGTGAAAAACATACTTTCACGCGCAGTAAAGTTTGTACGATGAACACTATCATCTCACACGAAAAAAAAAAAAAAAACTCAAATATTAGCGATCACAAAAATAACTCTGAAGCACGCAGTGACAGTGCAAGTATGGTCTCTAGTGAATGGAATCACAGTGCAAGTTCAAGCGCTGGAAACACCGTCCGCATTCGTCAAGCACATGGGCAAAGATAAGCACAGTTGCAGTGACCACGCCCATCACAAGAACACCGCAATCAGCACGCATCCAGCACAACACAAGTGTGTACAGCTCACGATCGCGGACAACTCATCCCACACACGCACACATGTCCACATGCCAAGAGAACCTGAGACTGCCTGACCCACTGTTGACCAAAAGCCACAACACACCTCACGCAAAAAAAAAGAATGAACGCTGTTATATGCACTACGGAGTGCAGGGGCAACGGAAATGGTTATATAAATGGTAGTGTGTAGGTGTTCTGTGGGTATTTGCACTACGATGCATGCAGTGCCACGTCAAGAAAGCGGTTGTGGTCGGAGACTTCCGCCAAAGCACGCCGAGGCAGCTGACAAGACAGGATGCGCACGCGGATATTTAGAGATTCAGACACACTGTAACGAGTGCTTAAAGCTACGGAACAAGCGCTTGTCTTCGTGTGCCTGCTGTCTTTGTCCCGAATTCCGAAACACCGAAAATCGACGAACGGGGCTCGACTTGCTTGGCGAAATAGGTGTAGGCCGCCCGTGACGATAACCAGGCCGTTCGCTTGGAGCAAGCGAACGGCCTCGACGGAATGTCGCTTCAGTACCACTAATTACGCTAGTAACGTTAGTGTCGCAAGTTATACTTGCGTGATTAAAAGAACGATTAACTTATAGCTGGTAATTTACACTATCGCTCCATTTATCTTTCTGGTGTGTAACACGACTGTGACCTCCGAATTTCTCGACATGGCACTGCATGTATCGTCGTGCATATAACCACTTTCAGTACCGCCGCACTCCGTAGTGCATATAACATCGTTTAAAAAATATATATATATGCCCAGAGAACCAGATTTAACCACAGAACACCTATTTAACTCTGCAGAGAACCTTAGGTTGCCTGACCCACCGTTCTCCAAAAGCCATAACTTTGTACGGATCCAAGTCAAGTTGGGTGAATATAGCGTTTTCGCTATTTTCACTGGGCTGTAGCAGTCACTGCGGGCTGTAATCATTATAGTGAACTAGAATATACTCCAGTGGCGGAACTGGTCGGGCTCAGGTGTTCTCCTTTGCGCAGATGCCACGAGATGGTGCCACTTGATTGTGCGCCTATTACAGGCGTTTCGTCAAAGATTTTTCACAAATCACTGAGCTGCTAACTCACCTCGCAATAAGCAATGTCCAATTTAGGTGGGAAGCGGCACAAGAGGAAGCATTTTAGAAAGTTAAAAGAAGCCTCCAAACCCCATCGATACTTGAACATTTCGTTGAACTCGCCGAAATAGAAGTACACACAGACGCAAGCAGCGTAGGACTCGACGCCATCCTTGTGCAGAAGACTGAGGGCGTGAAAAGAGTTATCAGTTATGCTAGCCGGTCGCTATCCAAGGCCAAAGCCAACTACAGTTGAACCCCGCTACAACCAAACTGAAGGGGCGCGGAAAAAAAATTTTGTTGTAGTGAAATTGAAAAAATATAGCCGATCTGAACTAGCAAAACAAAGGAACATTTATTCTCAAAATTTAAAAAGTGTCCGCTGATTTTTATTCCAACCTAGCAGTGTCACGACAGGATTCTGACGAAATCAGGGCAGTCTCATTGCCATCGCTATCGAGCAATGGCGGCGTCCGTGCTTGCTGAACAGTGGTGGTTTTTGGTGGTGCCAACACATGTTTTAGGCTTCGTCGATGTATTTTGAGATTCTGAAAATGCATCAAAATCTTAGAGATTAGGTTTACTGTATAGCAATAAATATCTGAGCCTGAAATCGCATTGTGAAATTTCGTTGAAGCAGGACGGCAGAAGAAAAAGTGTTTGTTGGGGCGACAATATTCATGCATTGACTTCTATGGACTGCTGACAAGAAAGCGTGAATTTTTCGTTGAAGCAGCGTCAAAGTTTCGCCCCACCTCTACGACAGGCCTTTCAGTGTTGTGAGCGACCACCATGCCTTGTGTTGGCTAGCTAACTTGAAAGACCTTTCGGGTCGCTTCGCACGGTAGAGCTTCAGACTTGAAGAATTCAACAGGACCATCGTTTACAAGTTTGGAAGAAAACACTCTGACGCCGACTGCTTGTCTCGTGCCCAGTCGAACCACTGCCGCCCGACAGCCTAAATGAGGATAATTTGCAACAGCGAGCTGACGTGGAACTCCGAAGCCTTGTGGAATACCTAGAGGGTAACAGCATGACTGTTCCGAATGTGTTTAAGAGAGAACTGAAGTCATTTTTTTTACGAAATGGAGTTCTCTTAAAAAAGAACTTCTCGTCCCTTCGAGCCGGTTACCTTCACGTGGTTCCTTTAGCAGTGAGACCAGAAGTACTTGAGGCCCTACACGGAGACCCGGTGGCTGGACACCTCAGTGTTTTCCGTACGCTCGCAAAAATAAAGGAAAAGTACTACTGTTCATGACTTCCCACTGACATCACTCATTACTTCAGGACCTGCGGCGACTGTCTGCAATGAATGACACCGCTGACTAAGCCAGCCGGACTTCTCCAATTCATTGAGCCACCTCGCCAGCTGTTCCAGCAAATTGGCATGGACATATAGGGGTCGTTACCGACGTTGAATTCCGGGAACCAATAAATCGTCATAGCTACTGACTACCTCATGCGCTACGCCAAGATGAAAGCCCTGCAAAAAGGCAGTGCCTCCGAGGTAGCAAGGTTCTTCGTCGGAAACATCGTTCTGCATCACGAAGCTCCACAGGTCCGAATTATTGACAGGGGTACGGCCTTTACGGCAGACCTAACTCAGGCTAATCCAAGGTACGGCCACACAAGTCACTGCCAGACCGCCGCCTACCATCCATAGACCACCGGCTTCACCGAACATCTTAATAATACCATTGCTGATATGCTGGCCGTGCACGTCGACGTCGAACACAAGACGTGGGATGCAATACCCCCATACGCGACCTTCACATAAAACATCGCCGTTCAAAAAACAACGCATATGACGCTGTACAAGCTGATCTACGGAAGAACCCCGGCAACCACGCTCGATGCCGTGTTACCCAACGTCATGGTTGAAGAAAGCTTCGATGTGAGTGAGTACCTTCAGTGCGCTGACAAGGCCCGACAACTCGCTCGCTTCCGCATTAAGAACCAACAGACAACCGGCAGCCGCCATTACTATCTTTGACGATGCTTCGTGGAATACCAGCCCGGTAAACATGTTTGGGTGCGGACTCCGATGCGCCAATGTGAACTCAATGAAAAGTTACTGCGAGGGTACTTTGAACCATGTAGGGTAATTCGACCTCTCGGCCCGCTCGATTACGAGATTGCCCCCAACGGCATCACTAACTCTCAACGACGCCGATCGCAACGTAAGTCGTCCATGTCATGCGCCTTAAGCTGTTTTATATGCATTGACGAACTGAAACAGGGTGTTTTGTTGTTTCTGTTATTGCTTTATCATAATTTTTTGCTTGTACTTTTCTGCATTATTTTTGTACTTTCATCTTCTCTTGATGCATCAGGATAAAGCTTTTTTCAGAGGTGCGCATTGGGACATTCTTTTCCTCAAGTTTTGTTATCGCCCTGTTACACTTTGTTCTGCGCAAATCGTGCCTATGGTGTTCGAAGCTGTAGGGGATCGTTTTGTTAAGATTACGCCCACTTAGTGATCATTAGAGATTATTCTGGAACATACGACGCTGCTATCATTAACGCTAGAATATTCGACAGAAGGTGTATAAATGCCGACGTGCTTCACCGCTAATCAGTTGATCGGCAGCCGACGTTCTGTTTGCCGCTATCAGTGCCAGTATCTTGCGGTAATCTGAATTTTTTTTTTACTTGGCCACAGGTTCGGCTCAAATAAACAGTTTATTGTTCGACTGCTCCCTTTGTCCACGTCACGACCCCGTGACAATATCAGATGGTCTACCAACCTGGAAAACCTGGAATATTCGGGGAATGCAGACCCTTCTGGAAAAGTCAGGGAATTTCTGAAATATATGGCCTGGTCTTGGAAACTGACAGCAGTCTGTGCGAACATAACAAAAAGAAGCATTATCATTAATTAAAGCTTAGACTCGCTCTTTTGGCTGCAGCTACAGCTGATAGCGAGAAGATGCATGAAAAAAAAAGGCAGTGCGTAACTGTTGTCTCGTATTGTAGATGGGAAAGTATACACCTACCAAAGGAATACAGCTTTTGCTGTTTCAACATCCACAACGGGAGCCTTGTTCACAATAATAGCAATTATGACGATGCAGCTTATTTAAGTATGTCTAAGGGTTTGGCATAAGCACCGAAAGTACATTGTTAAAAGCATCCAATCAGGCCTGTTCAGTGTATATGCAGTAGTCTGTGTGTGCTGGGATTTCAGGTGCAGGCATGATGCTCGCTCTTTTGTTTGGCCAGTTTGGCCAGAATACGCGTGCTTGACCAGTCAATTTGGTGACCTGTATATTCCACGTGTTTAGCGAAGGTACATGAGGTCACTCGTAGTTCCCTGACGTCATATTCCTGCTGTATAACTTTCTTTTTTTTTTTTAAATCACCGGTCTCACTCTTATATTGGTTATCAAACCGTGGCAGCCTACTATGTAAAGACCATGGAAATTTTCGCTCGGTAAGTTGTCTTCCATGTTGACTAAATCATTCTTTAGTTTCCATGTTGGTACATGCACTATTTTGATATCTGTTGTTTCTTCCTATTACACAGCATATGTGACTTTTGAACTACGACATTGCTCATGTCGGTAAGTTTGTGTATGTTTATCTTGGCCATGATTTCGGCTTGGCTTGAAGGCCTTCTGGTTAAGCTAGAAGAAACATCAGCAGAGGCTTGCTGGACTGTCATACCTTTTATTATTATTATTATTATTATTATTATTATTATTATTATTATTATTATTATTATTATTACTGTAGACCCTCAGCAAACAGAACCTGAAGGAACTGGGAAAATATGTTTCATTTAACAGGAGTTCAGTTTACTGAGAGGTGAGCATGGGTGAATACAAGGCTGTAACTAAGTATTGTAGAGACAGTAGTTCTGTTTAAGCAGTAGTTCCGTTTCATCGTCATCTAAATTTTTCATTTCAGTTTTTTGAGATGGTAATAATAAATTTGTGATTACTTCTTAGCGTTACGTTCATAGAAGAGTGCATAAATGAAGGTAACACGCCGTCATCTGTGGTTTATCTATGGAATCAAGAAAACTGTTGCTACCTGACAGATTGCTTTTTGCCAGCACATATTTATCAATTGTCAGCGCTTTGAACTTCAACCCCTAGCTTTCTTTGCAGGAGTCTGAGGACTTTCGTCAAGCTCGAAACGTCAGAGCCCAGAAAAAGAAAACATCTACAGTCCACTTATAAGGATTTCGAGGAAACCTGAAAATATGATTGCTATAACCGGTGATCGTTATATCTGGACTGCCATAAAAAATCGTCATCGGGCGTATATTTTTCGTAGCTCCAGGCTCGAGTTCGCTTTTTCCACCAATGAACAGATGATGTAGATTAAAAGCTTCGAAAAAAAAAAGCAAACCTTTATTTTATACTTTGAAGAGTGTTTATGACTTCGGCACGATGAAGAATTCTGATACCCACTGTTGGTACCGCAGAAGCTCCAGCTTAACATGCGTGGTTCGGATACCTTCAAGTTGTTGCGAATACTATGGTGGCATTCCTCGGACCCGCATGAAGTCTACTAGCACGTCAATCAGCATCAGTGAACATTGCGTGATTATCTACAAGGCCGTAGAAGCACTGTTCACCCATTGTTATAACCGATAGATCGTTATACTACAGTGAAAGCTCATTAATTTGAACTTCAATAATTCGAATTTATGGATAATTCGAACTGTAATTTATGGTCCGGCCAAGCTCCATACAAGCCTATGAATAAAAAAAGCCTGTTAATTCGAATGCGAGTAGGTTCCACTGCGGATAATTGGAACTATGCGCCACCGCGCCGGCGGCTTGGCTAGTCACTCGATAGGGCGGCTGCCGAGTCACGAGGCGGCATTGACAGGAAGCGGAGAGAAAAAAAAAATTGGTTCCAAATCTGCATGTTACACTGCAAATATCGTCGGAAGACGATAGTCTTGCGTCTAAAAAGGGTGAACAAAACGTTTATTCGATGTTTTGCGCAAGCAAATCGGTGAATGGTATTCTGCAGGCGCTGCGTTAGAGTGCCTCGAGCGTGTAGCGAAGGAGAATGAGCTCATAGAGGCACGTTAGACACAAGTGCCATCTGGCAGTTATCTTCGAAAACGAAGGCTTGCAGCCGACGGAGAAAGATGGGCGCCAGTCTTGGAGACGATAAGGTGTAGAACACAAAGCGACGGGCAGGCGCCACCACCGTGACG